ACACACACACACACACACACACACACACACACACACACACACACACACACACACACACACGTTTGTATTTCTATCTTTATTAGGACCAGTCATTGACTTCCATTCATTTTCAGTTGTTTTTTTTTATACTAAACCTGACCTCTTAACCTTAGCCTTAGTATGCACCCAACTCTAAACCTAGCCTAAACTCAGTTCACACCTTAGTCCTAAACCTAACCCCCCAATCCCAAAATATAGTTCCATCATATTAGGACTGCTCTGTGGTCCCCATAAGGACAGCTGATCTTGACATGGTAGGTGTGTATACTGGAAATGGTCCTAAAAAGGTAACAGAACACTCACACACTCTCTCTTTTTATTGTCTTTGATCTCTTCCTACATGTTGTATTTTTTTTTATTTCAAAGGGTATTTTTGGCATTAATTGTACTAAATAATAATGTAATACTTTGGATGGATGGATGCATGAATGGATAGATTGATAAATAAATGCAATGCAAGTGTGTTTCAGTCTCTGGCCAAGCAGTCCAGGCATAAAGGACAGAAAACTGTCTTCCAAATAAATAAAAATCCAAAGAATTATGTAATTAGGGTAAAGAGTTCGCTTAAACTAAAAACCTGGTCATCTGAACAAGTAACTTGACTACAATCTAACCTGACGTTATGACACTGATGGGGTAACATGGTAATTTGTACAAATCGATTCACACATACAGGAGAAAACTCAAATTAATATCAGCCTTGACTAAAAAAAAGGAACTGCAGCAAAAGCCTAAATCCCCTCCATATCGAACAAGCACATGGTATGGTCTGATGAGCAGACTTTCAGTGTTATTAGTCCTCAGCCCCTGACCGTGCTTTTTACTCCACCCAGAAGAGACCGACACCCCGACAAATAACTCAAGAGATCAACATAAATAATGATCAACAGTTTTAAACCCCACAGTGAAATATGTGTGTGTGTGTACACTCCTTATTAGCAGTAGGTTAAAATGAGTAAATAAAACGAAAAAAATAAAAAAAAAAGTCATAATGTGGGGGACTGTGTGAGGCTGAGCATCACAGGCTTTTTCCTTCATGCATAGTTCTTCTATTGTATCTTTTCTACTGATAAGATAAAATAAATAAATAAATAAATAAAATACGAGTAAAATTGTAAAACTTTATCTGACGTTGAACAAAGAAAAAAAGCTGTTATTTATTTTAGCGGAAGCCGAGTGGACACTGTGGTAAACTAACTTTATTAGGAGCTTGGTGGCACAAGAATATGACTCATCTATGAGCCAGTGGTTTGACAGGTCCTCAGAGGGTTGTGGGAGAGGCATAGGTTGAGGGGGAGGGGTGCTGGTGGGCATAGACTTCCATCATGATTGCTTGTAGATCTAGTTTCTTTCCAGGCCCTGGCTGCTGAGAAGTCCACAGAACTAGTCTTCAGCAGTCTGAACTTTAGAAATTTATTTGGAAATATTAGGCGCTTGCAGTAAAATGTAGAACTTCCTAAATGAATGCAGATCACCTGCTGCTTTTCATGTCACAGATGTAGACTAAAGTTATGTGATGAGAAGTGGAATTGTAGCTGTTTTTGTTAAACCTTGAAAATAAAGTTACCGTATTTTCCGAACTACAAGTCACACTTTCTTCATAGTTTGGCTGATCTTGCGAGTCGCGACTTATAATCCGAATTGACTTATCTATCGTTTTTTTTTCTTATTGACACATTTTTTGACTGATGAGACTTATACTCCAAAACGACTAATAGTCCAGAAAATACTGTATACACATAACGATATTATGCTATTAATGTGAATTTCTCAGCTATTAACACATTAAATTTTAGCTCAGTTTCTGTAAAATATTTTTATTTATTTTTTTTGAAAACTTTATTCATTTCTTTAAAAACAACAAAGTTATATACAATAAAAATACAAATCACAAATAAAATGAAAGGCGGCAGAAAGAAGAAAAAAATCTTACAATATCTGCGCCTTTTTCCTCCCAAAATTAATATCAATAAAATCTACTGAGTTATAGTTATTTTTTTGGGTCCCATATGATTAAATAGTAGCAGCCATCTTGATTTCAGAAGTTTCTCAGTTGTAGATGTGTATCCAAAATTACTTTATACAATTTTCATTAATATTTGTCTTAATGAGATATTTTGCTGACGGACAGACACAAACATAACTGTCTGCATTTGCCTTTTAGTGGCAGAAATAATTACTTTTAATGGCTGAGGGTGAAGCTGAAACTCCCATTCATTTCACAATGATGGTTGTAGGAGACAGATTTATACAAATGTTTGTATTTTAAGTGTTATTTCAGTGTGGTGTTTTTGCATCTACAGGCAACCTGGATCTGACTGGTCCTAAACAGGTATTCAAAGCAGAGAATAATCCATGGGTCACTCCGATTGCAGACCAGTTCCAGCTGGGCGTCTCTCATGTCTTTGAGTATGTTCGCTCAGAAACCTATAAATAGTAAGTACTTATCCACATTTAGAAAAAGTGTGTTTATAGAGTGTCTGTTTTCTTTATTTTTTTTCCACATTCCAAGTGAGCAAAGATCCATCATTGACTTTGTGATGCAATCTTTAATTGGTATTCTCCTTATGTTTTACTGTTTAAATTATAAATGGCTGACTGTGATTTTTTTTTCTCAGTTGTAGTAACAGACACTGCAGTAAAATCTTAAATCAATCCCGAATCTGCTAATAATTCTTTTGTCCAAGCAGCATAAGATGCTGAAAATCCTCAGCCTGCAGCTCAGAGCCATGCTCTGGAACTGATCCGTCTCTGAGAGACAGAAAGACCTGGTCTCAGCTGCATTGTCCCCTATCTTCTGCTGGCACACACTTTGTGTCTGAGCATCTTTCCATAAACTGCTGCAGAGATATGGAGCAGAACCAGTGATTGTTTCAAACACCTGAGAACAGTTTTCAGCTCACACTGCAGCAGTTTAGTAACTGATATTTAGGTATGTGATTTTATTTAGGCTTTTTTATTTTATTTGTTGCACACAGATTTTTGTGGAGGAGTTTTAAGTATCTCGGGGTCTTGTTCACAAATGAGGGAAGAATGGAGCAGGAGATCGACAGGCGGATTGGTGCTGCGTCTGCAATGATGTGAGCGCTGTACCGGTCTGTTGTGGTGAAGCAAGAGCTGAGCCAGAAGGCAAAGCTCTTGATTTACCTGTCGGTCTACGTTCCTACCCTCATCTATGGTCACGAGCTTTGGGTAGTGACCGAAAGAATGAGATCGCAGATACAAGCAGCTGAAATGAGTTTCCTCTGCAGGGTGTCTGGGCTCTCCCTTAGAGATAGGGTGAGAAGCTCAGTCATCCAGGAGGGACTCGAGAGTAGAGCCGCTGCTCCTCCACGTCGAGAGGAGCCAGTTGAGGTGGCTCGGGCATCTGGTTAGGATGCCTCCTGGTTGCCTACCTGGTGAGGTGTTCCGGGCATGACCCACTGGGAGGAGACTCAGAGGAAGACCCAGGACACGCTGCAGGGGGACTATGTTTCTCAGCTGGCCTGGGAACGCCTTGGGATTACCCTGGATGAGCTGGTCCAAGTGGCTGGGGAGAGGGAAGTCTGGGTCTCTCTGCTTAGGCTGCTGCCCCCATGACCCGACCCCGGATAAGTGGCAGAAAATGGATGGATGGACAGACTTTTTATAAGAGCAACAGGTTGTAGAATCCTGGCTGAGCATCCCCAAAACATTATGTAATATCTTTGCCGAAGATTTTATTCTTATCACTTTAAAAACTACACCTGATTTAAAAGGAAAAAAAATTGTATAGGTCCTCTGGACGGATTCTTCTTTAATGAAACGTTTCGTCTCTCTTCCAAGAGACTTCTTCAGTCTGAGAGTTTCAGGCAAAATTCAGGCTTTTAAGTCCTGCCTCCAGG